TGGAAATTGATTGAGATATTGCAAGTAAGGGAACTAAGTTTGATAACAGATTTCTGTTGGTTTAGCCTGATTCATTATTTATTTAAAACAAGCCCAATTCATTGGGTAGTGGATAGATGGGGGTAGAGACTGTGTCTATATGGTCATATATCAGCTAATTTCTAACAGATTGAGCCGACTTTTCACAGTCGTAGATGCTTAAAAGTGTTTTTTTGATCACAAGGTCTAAAATAATTATATGTCTCTGCATTTCGAAATTTATCGTAAAAACCCAGTTAAATCATTTGAATTTAGATGTAAACAAATGTTTTAGAATGCTCAATTATTTTTTCTTTTTTTGAAAAATTAAAAACTTGACTCACCATCACACAATGGCCTAATTAGGATAAGCAACTTAGATGTCAGGAAAACAACAACTGCATTAAATGTCAGCTAGAACTTCTAGCCTTAAAGTCTTCCTTCTCGTCAAAAAGATTGGCCTCATAATTGGATCTTGAATATTTGACTAACAGTGACTTCCGAAGGCTTTCAGGTTAAAACTCAAAGGCTAACAGAAAATCAATGATAATCTTTAAAAATTGTGTTTTTTTACTAAAGCTAAAAAGCTGGTCCTTTCTATACACCCCCATACCTCAACAAGCACCTAAGTTCCCTCTCCCTTCACGACCCCACGTCCAAATGTCCCCACACATATCTCCACGTCCTGTTAAATTACAACCCCTAATGCGCGCCAAATCTTTTCTGTACAATGCCAGACACTTTGTACAGATGCAAGAATGCGCTAGGGACACCACATTTGTTTACGCATTCATTTTGTCTCTTGTCACCAGCAGGAATCATCATTTACGGATATCTGGGTTGGGTGTAATGTCAACGTATTGAATGATTTTATCTACATTGAATGCAAAAATATATGAATTAATTAATTTTTTATTAAAGCTATGTTCATTCAAATTAATTATTTCATAAATTATTTCACCAATAACAGAAATTTACAGAATTTTGATTTAAATATGACTTCAGTATGGCTTCTCTTCAGACACTAAAATTTGTATAGACACTAAAATTTGCTGTTGATAATTCGCCTATGCAGCACCCACTTATGAGCTTGGGAAAGACAATGATACCATATCGGGGTATTACTGTGTGCAGGACTGCGGATTCGGGGGTGGACTACGGGGGCTTTATCTTCCCTTCAAAATTTCCAAAATAAACTTAAAATCATACAAAATCGCTCTGCTCTTAGTTTTTAGCACGTGTAGCCCCTCTAAATCGTTTTAGCCCCCTCAATCTGTATTTTGCAGGGGCGTCGTTTTATTATTTTTGTTGGGGATGAGTGGCTGCATATTTTTCCTGCAGAAAAATTCTGCCCTGGCAAAAGTTTAATATGTGGAGAACTTGCCCTCGGTTGCCGTAACACTAAAATAATCATCAAGGTAAGTCGTACCCACTTAGGTCCTTGTTTATTGTGTTCACAAGTTCACCGATGTGTTTTCCTAACCTTAGGGAGACGAGCAAGATAAATATTTTTAATGAGCGAGGAAACCCCCCATCCTGGAGTCAAAGAGCATGCGCTCAATTTTTACAAAACACTTTCAATTTGCCATTAGCATCCAGCTGATTTCGTTACACTGGATGTAGAATCGCTAAACGCAAACATTTCTTAAGATAAGGAAATTTCGCAAACATCAAAATTCATTATGGGGAAACTACCCCGCTACAGATAAAATTCAACAGACGGTGATTTTTATTCTCAAACATAATTATATTGCCTTTACGCTCTCTTTTTATAAGAACAATTTATAAGAACACGAGCTTCAAAATTTGTCAAAAGTTGAGAACATATTAAGAACAAGCTGAGGCTGAGTTACTGTAAAATGTAACTTTGAACAATGTTTCATCTCAAAAACGAGAAGTTTTTTGCCATCTTAGGATGCTTCTTCGGTGAAAATTGAAACATGGCGGTAAATGAAAGATGTCTTACTCTCTTTGTTTGGAAACGAGGCCTGAACACTACCCTAGAGCGAAAAAGCTCCCGATGGCACTGCTTACACCATATAAATTTAACAACAATAATTAGTTAATAATTACACCCTAGAAATTAAGAACAATCCAGTCTCAGATTTTAGAAAAAATTAAAACAACCAACCTGAGCTACTAAAATTTGCTGGTTCTTATAAAAAAGAGTGCAAAAACATTACTCAATTTAATCATTACAGACCAACTGACTACCTTGTAAGAATTTTGTGTTGAAGCAATAGTCTTCTAGGGTTGTGGATAAGAACTATGGTGACCTTTTTCTCTGAAGATGGTTTAACAAAATTACCAAGCGATAAGCGAATGCAATCCTTTAAGTTAAATGACATGTGATACTTAAAGGATCAGAACTCGCCTCTTTTGTTTGCTAAATTGGATTGATACTTGCTAAGAGTTCGCTGTCTGTACCAGCTTTTATCTCGCATTAGACCACACTTTCACTTCATTCTTATTACTTGGACTTGCATTTTGAACTCATTTGTACCAATTCACTTTTTGTCACACAATTGCGCGTTGTGTAGTCCAAAAGCGACAAGCACCATGGCTGGTAAGAATGCTAAATGTATTCGACATATATGTCTTTCTTATATTGACGTTTGAGGTACGATCTTAAGCTAATTAAGAGCTTTCAATCAAGGCTCCCGCTATTGGACTTGATTGAAATGTCTAACGTTTAAACATACATCAAATGTCAAATTCCTATTAAAAGAGCGTCTCTTCCCTGAAAAAATGCCAGGATTTGACGATCTTTGATATTCAGAGGACAGCCCTCGTATCTTTAACGGTCTGTAGCACAATTTACAGTCTCCAAGCTTAGTAACGCATTCAGATGGCTATTTAATCGAAAATAGGTCCAGCGGCACCCAGATATCTACTTCAAATATAGGCTTCGTTTTGGAGTAAAATGAAAGTTTATAATGATGATAAGGATTCGATTTTAATTCAACAAGAATATGGGTTTACTGTGTGCAATGCCGAATTTCTTGTTTCCATTACATTTATAAATGGAAGACTTTGGTAGTTTGTTACTGTTTTGTAATTACCGAAAGAGCTTGGGTGTTCCATCATCTAGCGTTCTGGTATAAATTTGATTGTTTGGCCTCATGCGAAAAAATCTTTAAACCCCTCGGACAGCCTCGCTTTAATATGAACACGGCTACTTTGTATTATTTGTACCGTACGCTCCTTAGTTTGAATCTTCACAAAAAGCTTGCATGTATGGTAAATTTTAGGCAAAGTGATAATAATTGCTACTTACAAGCGCTTGTTCACTTCTAGTAGACACAATGGTCCTAAAGAAAATACAATAAACGAATAAATGAGCAATCTAGTTGAAAGATTATTTGAAGGATACCTGTAGATTAAATTGAATGCATTTTTACCTGTATACGACTCGAGGTGACTTACATACGGGATACCGCCAGCCAAGAGATGGACCAAATTATTAAGAATTAAGTAAAATCATATAAAATATACATTAACCAGGTTGATAATTCTGCACAATATCATCTGATTACCATCTATAATTTTGTATCGACCAAAAACACAGACTGCAGAATATACATAAGAAATGTCAAGCAGTGCCACATTTTTCGATCAAGCAACATAATAAATATCAAAAGACCAAACCCTGATTCTTGTGGTCAACCTCAAGGACAAAATACATTCCTTTAATTTTGAAAAGTTTCTGGACATCAAGGAAATGCTTTATGGTATCTTGGAAGGGGAGAACAGCGCAGTGGCTGTGAGGCAAGTGCTATAGTCCACTAAAGCACCAAGTTTTGAGATTGAATATTGAGACACAAAATATCTCATGTAAAATACTCGAAAACATTTAACCGTCGCTGGACTTATAATGGAAATAATAATCATTTTCCCACTTGAGATTATTCGGTCTAGACTGTTTGGCCCTTTGGCTGCTTTTGACATATGTAAAGCCAATGCGCATTTCAAAGATAAACAAGCACGTTGATTAAATCGCCGAAAGAGCTACAAACATGTTGATTATGTTAGAACACAGGGTTCCCATTCATTGCAGGACATCACATGACAATTGCATCATTGCGCTGCAATTGCATCAGCTTCTGTAAATTGTATTATTCTTAGGGTATATAAGGGGTGGCTTTATAGTTAGGTTGAGTCTTGCCGTAAGCTTTGTCGAACTCAGTGTACCTTGTCGCTAGCTTGTAGAATTGTGTTTGCCGTTACATTGTCGCCGTTAGCCGTTTAAGATATTTTTAGTCGTTTGCCGTGAACTGATGAATTAGAAGAAGTGTATAGAGAATTGGATAACAGTTTTTGCCGTATTTATCGTGTACGTTTCTGCGAACGACCTACGAACTCACATTTGTAAAACCCCCTTTTTAAGTGGTTTTACAATTAAATCGCCGATAGCTGTTTTGAAGCAGTTGTTGATGAGCATTTTCTAAAGAAAATTTTGCAAAAAAGAAACCGCAAATGGCTGTGATACCAATCACCAACAGGGGAAGATCATGTATGCATGGATTTTCTTGCTATATTTTACATGGATTGTATGCCTATGCAAGGACCGCGGATCATATTACAGATTGAGGAGGCTAAAACTTTTTTTTGGAGGGGGGGGGGGGGGTAAACATGCTGAAAATCAAGAGCGGGGCGACTTTTTGTATGGTTCTAAGTACCCCGGTCCCTGTGCTTCCCCGGTCCCTGCTTTGGTACTGCAAAATTTTAAAGATACACAGAAAATTGCATAAATGACATAGATATTTAAATACTTTTGGTCTGATGCAGATGAGAGTAAAAACTTCGATCAGCAATTTTTTATATGCAAATATTTATATTTATATAAATCATTACTACAAGATTTTCTGGTCTTTTCTTTTAAAAAAGCATTTTTAAATACCATACCTAATTGAAAAAGGCTGCTAGCCTGATCCAAAACAACGGAAGAAATCGTTTTATAGACAACAATGTTATATTTCCGATTTCCGACAAAACAGTAGTTTCTCGCCCTCGTTGACCCCCCTCTTTATACGCCACTGGCCAAGACCGAGGTGCTGTAAAGTGTAAGATTGGTGGAGTATTGTAGAAATTAGTTATTAAGATTATTTTTTATGATAGGGTAAGTCGTATCCTAATTTTAACAAAAGATTCAACGCCAAATTTAATCACATTTTGTATTTTGCAATAAGTGGCCGTTGCTAAACGTTGTTCTCAGGGCTGCCACTCATCAAACAAAAGGTTTTACTTATGCTACACAAGGCACTATGAATCTCGGTCTTTGTAAGAGACCATGAATCTATAAACCATTTAAATGTGCTAATTCCATCTCCCCTTTTTCCTTTGACCTTGTTTCACTTACCATTTGATCATTAGCCCCTTTTACACTCTGAGAGTTATTTCCAAAATGCAGCTTTTACAGACATTTAATCAGTTTTAAGTGGCCCCCCTGTGTTAATCCTGCCCATGGCCTTGCAGCATACTGGTGGCAGCTGCAGTGTCCAAATGTCAACTTAGTATGGTGTCCTATTTAAAACGTTTTCGGCCTTTGCTCTGCCAGACAATGTACTTAAAGAAATACAGAGATACAAAAGATCGCACATTTCGAGGCGAATAATGAATAAAGGCAACGAGTAAATATTGGATTAAATCGGAAAAGCCTGCACAGTAGAGAACATCTCTATGAAGAATCTCACCGAAGGAGTAGATCGTAGGCTAATCTCCGGACCAAAATTCCAGGAACTAATAGAAATGCAGATGAAGCCAGGACCACAAGAAAGTAGCTATTCGATCGAATGTGATCATTTCTTAATGGTGTTAAAGGAATAGCTGAGATTTGTACAAAAGTAGAGGATTATGCAATAAATGATACTGCACTGCCTGCCGGTGAAATTAGCATGTGCTGAACATTTGGAAATTCAAGTGTAGAAATCCAAAAAGATATTGAAGGAGACTTTTTTTCAAAGTAGACTCGCTTTCAGTGACGCATCTAAAGACCTTTTGAAGTTTAATAGATTTCTTATCAAACTGAATTTGTAGACAAACCTACGCATGTTTTATTTGAGTACTGGTGATATTTGAATGCCAGCTATTGGGTTTTTGTGCGCACACGTACAGGAAATTAACCACACACACAAGGAAAGAAATTTGACAATTCTAGAATAGGGAACATCACGAAATATTCCAGTATTGAAAATATGGCCTTCTATGTTAACAGAATACAATTTAACAGAATTAAGATCCCGGCTAAGTTGTTCCAGGAAATATACAGAACCCATAAATCAACACTCCATCAACAAAGCTAGCTACCCTGTTACCAGCAACAGTGATTTTAATAGGTGCAAAAACTGCGTGATCCGCCAAAGAGCCAGTCCGCTGATTAGGTCCTCGAAAACAAGAAGTTGAAAACATGGCGCAATAACAAATAAACTAAGTGGCTTAAACATAGCTCAAAAGGCGTCTTATTGCCAGTGTAAGTTTATGTTGTAAATATATTCCTTTTAGCACACAAGTTTAATTTCATTGAGGTATTTGGTCATTTTCTCCAGCAGGTCAAGTTTGGAGTGGATTTTGAAGCAGCCGCGACGATTGATAATGTTCGATGAACAGGGAATTGGTGTTGGCCTCCTGTGTCTGTTTGCACAATCTCTGTTGTCCTATGCCACAAACAACGGTGAGCCTTTCAAATTCACACTAACCTTGCTAGACTTTGGTAATAGCCTAGAAAAAGTACTTAATTCTTTTAGGTGAACTACCATTCATTCCCTTTTTGCGATGAATTTCCCAGCACTCAGGCTAGAGAAAGCCTTCCTTTCTTTTTTAAGGGTTTGATATGTTTTTATGATGATAAGTTTATCATTTTTCATTGAATGTCGAAGCATCTTGTAAGATTTTAATATTTTATATAGGAAGAATTCCTGTCTTTTCTAGAAGTAGTTATTCTCAACGACAATTTTTTAGCTATAATGAAACATGCGATGAAATACCCAATGAGGGTTTGAAATTAAACAAAAATTGGTTTAGCTGAATATTGCCCAAGGTAGTTCATTAAAAGTAAATCTAAATTTAATGAAAGGCGTGATTTCGAGATTTAAAATAAGCAATAATGAACGCTTTCATTCGGATTCACGTCGATATAAAATGATTTTCGTATTTCTAAACACTTGAAAAACCTTATTAGCCGAATAGTTTGTCGAAAGATAAAAAACACGGAAGCAAACACAATTTTATTTAAAAGCAAAGTAAAATATTTATTATTTCAGAGTTAGAAAACGCCTCAGTTTTCTAATTTTGTTTATTATTCTTTCTGGATTAATCTTTTCCTATTTGCTTTCCTCGAAATTTTCCTTGTAACGTATGAAATAGAATTTGATAAAAATCATCTATTTGCTGTTTTCTGGCACTTTGTCAAGAACAAAAAAGTCCAAGCACAACTGTTGACTCCTTTAACTTTCCATACCCTTGTAAAGTTAAGCATTGACCTGCCTCGAAACAACTTCATCGTTGGACGACCTTTCTCTGGCTCACAGCCGTAGAAACGTAATGTTTACTTGTATTATTTCATAGCATTTGCTTAGAAATTTATGTTTTCTCGCTTACAATCTCAGTTCAGAGTAAAACCTTTTCCTCTGCAGAACTAGACGGCTAATTTCCTGCGGTATATTTTCAATAACAGTTCATTTATTTGGGGTTCGTTTTATAATATGCAGTACTCACTAAGAAATCATTTACAATACAAAAATTAGCGCACGGTAAAATAATCAATTGAAATTATTTTTAAATAATAGAGATTCGAATTGGATTCATCTGCCATTTATTTTCAAGAGTCCGCGACAAGGCTTGGTTTTTTCGATTCACAAGTGTCACAAGTTGAGAATATGAATTGTTACAAGCTAGTTGATAATTTAAACTGGGTGATGCTATGGGGTGCGAGAAGCCCCCTAACACTGCCAGCAGCCAAAACTTTAAATTTTCGATGAAAACGATCGATATTTGAGGTTTTGGCCCGTAAAAAACTGAGACTCGTCACTAGACTTAAATATTTTCAGTTATTCAGTCATCATCTGACGATTAAACCCTGAAGAGTGTCAGACAGAAAGTACTTCAGTTTGCTGTGTGTCCGCTATTTTGTGCTATCTTCAAATTTATATTTTGTTTAATAGCAAAAAGTATCCTAGCTACGTTTTCCTGATGGAAAGGGGATTTTTATCACAGAGTGGAAATCTTAATTAAAATACCAAATTTAAACTATCAAAATTATATTGTGCTTACATAACTTTTCATAACTTTAATCAGTACAAGTTGCAAGCCAATATTACGAAACATCATTAAATTTCCAAAGCAATAGCAAAATATGATAACCTTTAGCTTCAGTCAACGTGATTTAATATACATTAGATGGCGTTTTGGTTGTTTGATGCTGGAGCAAAATAGAAATCGGAATGTTGACGTCATTTTTGAAGGACGTTATCCTAGATTACCTACAACGCGTTCCTGCCACTAATAGGATTTTCGTTTTAATCTATTATTGATAATTTTCAGAAAAAATCATGGGTTTTTCTAAGATTCTGAACTTATTTTACGTATTTGCTATGAGGTTTGTCGTGAAGCAACCTAAAAACAACCCGAGTTGTTGGACTAAGAAGACTAAGTATTTATTTCTTATCGAATAAAAAGCTTTTGAAGATTATGATAATTGACCTTTTCAGTCAGGGAGTCCGCTGTAACCAGCCATAGTATCGAGAAATAGTTAATTAAAAACAGCATATGTTAAAATTCAAATTTTGTGCTGCACATAAAAACAAGGCCGTCTTTTTTCAAGTTGTAGCTGGAAAATATTTTACGTATCATTGATAAAGATGTGCTAAGGTGGAAGGCTGCTGATGTGATTTTTGTTGACTGTTTAAGTCAACGGGCATAAATAATGAATAAGCAGCCAATTAATATTCTAAAGTCATTAAGGGGTTGCCGTGATAGGGAGGGACAACACCTGCAAGGAATACCCATAACAGAGATGTTCCATATCAACTGTACCCAGCTTGTAAAGACCAGCAATAACTTAGAAACGAGTTGAGCTAGAACTGCAAGACTTTTTCTTTGACTTTTTTATATAAGACACTCCACCCAACTATCATGAAAATCTAAGAGGGTCACTCTGCAACTTAGGTTTTTTGGGAACACTTGATATGGAATATCCAAGCAAAGGAACGAAAATAGCAATGAATACGTGAAATTTACTATCAAGGTATAAATAAAAGGAATGCTAAAGTTTAGCGCACAATGTTAATTTCAGTTGCAAGCAACGTCGACATTTGAACTCTGATAAGCTATCATTGCTCTTTAATCTCATTTTCACGAGCAGCCTCAATTTCAAACTCAGATACACCTGCAATGTGACAAGGAAAGAACTCATCATCGCAGGGATTTGGTGTTTTTCCGACTCCGCACATGTGTGACTTTATGATTTGTAGCCTGCAACTAAGCATGATTACCAACAGACGACAAACATCTCCCATTCCTTCCTTCCTTCAGATTTTCAAAGTAAAAAATCACTACCCCTTGTGAAACAATTCATTTGCTTAATGGGGGATGCGACTAAACGCCGGACACCAAAGGGAGAAGGTCAAAGAGGAATACTACGAATAGACATAGCCAAAAGCACCGGGCAGGTTTCTCCTTATGAAACTTCTTGATAATGCTCCAAGCAATACAAAATGTTAATTTTAGTGGAAATTTGACCTGAGGGATAGATCCCATTCCCCTAAAACCTTAAAAGCCTGAAATTTATGTATATAACGTCTGCCAAAGCAAGGAAAGTTTTCATTCATTTACGGAGACGTAGCTTTGGGGGACGTGAGGGTTGTGACACCCCATGGCAAATAGCCCCTTGTTTTGCCATTCAGGGGTGCTTCGTCGGTGAATTTAAAACTTGCGGCAAATAAAGGATAGCCAATCGCCCAGCCACTTTGTCGGCAAGTGGGACCTAGATAACCACATTGGGTAAAGGAAATCACAACGGTCCTGTGCGTTTAAACATGTCTCAAGCTAGGTCTTTAAAGGGCGTGGCAATTTACCAATGTTCACCAAATTTGCTTTGCTCTTTTCTATTTAAGCAAATGAAACATTTATTAATATTTTATTGGTCGTTGGTGTAGTTCATCTACTGATTGCAGATACTCTTCTGTATGCTCTGGAACATAAACAAATGCGAGTGTATGCTCTTAAAGGATAAAGTGGATTTGATATTTGAAAAGTTAATTTAAAGCGGATAAAACTATGTTTTGAATATTCTTATAAACCAAGGAAAAGAGGATTTTATCCATGGGGTTTTGTGCTTTGAAATGAAAGAAGGGCCTGTTCGCAGGGAAGGGATAATGTTTATTTACCAACAATATTCTATTGCTCAAACTGAATTGCTAACAGGCCTGCAGAAATTACATTTCCAGCGTACACTGAGCTTAAAAACCAGAGCATTTTGCAGGAGACTGTACGCAATTTCCAGCTTTTATTTAACCTTTTTTATATGACTTTGGGATTTCCGTCGACTTCTTCCGAATTTTCGCAAAAAGCGAAATAGTCTTAATATAGCTGAAGTGTACTATCCAATGACAGGAATTGTCTAGTTTCCATACTGCTCGACCTGATAGTCATAAATAAACATGATTAATAGTCATAAATTAGTATGATTAATTATTTCAAGTAAAGGGTCAGGGTTAGGGTTAGGGTTAGGGTTAGTGTTGGGTTTAGGGTTTAGGGTTAGGGTTAGGGTTAGGTCTAGGGTTAGGGTTTAGGGTTAGGGTTGGATTTAGGGTTAGGGCTAGGTCTAGGGTAAACTAATTACGTGATCAGGTCGAGCAGTATGGAAACTAGACAGCTCCCCAATGACAGGGCCACATTTAACTATCGAGTCGAGCCTCGATGTTGTTAAAAAAAGAGAGTGCTTATCTAAGACTTGCATTTTGTTTATGTTTTTTATTTATCTGTCTCAAGGCTAGTCCCCTTTTCCTAAGGCAGCTCTCTTTGCATGAATGTATGGCTCCTCCAGCAACAACACTCTCACAAAAACCAGATCTTGTTCAGCTTTCCGAATAAAGAATTCTCTTTGTGGGCTGTTTCCCGCCTTGTTTGTTAGGAAATCGTCACTATGGACGTACAGAAACTTGAGCCATTTGCTCTCTGCTTAACTACTTCTCCACATTGCAAGTTTCTATGATGTGAGCTACATATTTCCCGCTAATATGCGCTGATCAAATGCGCAGTTAACAAATTCATACTCGTAGCGGATCTAAACCTTCTCGCTACAAATCAAGAACTTTAACTTTCGAACGCTGGAAATCGCCCATCTATCAACAGCTTTCTTACATCGTTAACCTTACCTGTGTATATAACCCTTAAATGCTTGCTCATAAGATTTATTCAGCCGGATTTAGAAAACCATGAACAAAGCTAAACAGCTTTCGGCTTGGGTTTTTTTTTGAAACCTGCCCCAAGATACCACTCCCAACAACGCACACCTCCGGACAACTCTGGACAACTACGTACAACTCCGCACTCCGGTCAACTCCGGACAACTCTGGGCAACTCCAGACAACGGACCAATAAAACTTCCCCTAGCTTCTTGTTCGTGAATACAAATACCCTATGTTTCTAAAGCAGTCTTCTTTCTGCGAGGTT